GCCGGGTGGTCCCCGGGCTGGGTGCCCGGCGCGGCTCTGCCGTGCCTCCCGGCGGAGCTGGTGGACCGAGCGGTGCCTCTTCGCTGGGTGGGGAGGCTGAAACGGGCAGCTCCGGTTAAGCCCTGTCTGCTGGCCAACGGCTCTCCACAGGTGTGTGTGCTCCTTCATGGCACAAAGCAAGGCAGCGTTCTGCCCTTTGAAGGACCATGTGCGCCAGTGGAGAACCGTTCAATCAAAAAACTAATAATTTAAAGGTGCATTTAATGCTTTCCTATGCAGAAAGAAGGATTTAGTAAGTTATGTGAAAGTTATCTGCTGGTGCTCATGGAAAAAAATGCCCTGTCTGTAGCTGGATGTTGATGTAAACTTTATAAATAGTGGCCTGGGAAGGACTGCAATTAAGGGAAGAATGTAAATAGTGCCAAACATGTAAGGATCACTTGTACCCTTGTAAATAAACAAGCTGAAAATTTGTGCTTGTGACTTTTTTTTTTGCAGTGGAAAAGTTCTTTGGGGCAAACTGGTATTCTTGTTATTAGAAGTGTTATTGGGCAGGACTACTTGACAGTGCAGTCAGTCAGATGCTGGGCAGGCTCGGCTGGCAGATCGCCGTTCTCTAGTGCAACTCTTTCTTTGGGAATCAGTGGAGATACCTGTAGTTATGCCTTCCCCAGTGCCTATTTTTGGAGGCTGTTTCCTGTTATAAAAAGACCTGCTGCTTTGTTAACAAATGGGTATTCCTTTCTAAGCAGCACGAGTAATACTGCGAGTGACACCAGGTAACTTCCTACTAGCTGTTGTGCAGGTGTTACACTCTGCTGACCAGTAGCCTGGTCTCCGGTTCAGGGATTTACGAGGAGAAGCTTACATCTTGGATTGCAGGTCAGGCTAAATGGGGAAAGCAGAGGAAATCCTCATTGTGCGTCTCTGCTGCTTGCAGAGATCGGGCAGTCCAGGTGTAATGCACCAGGCTTGCTGTGACTTCTCCTTGGCTGCTGCCCGTGTTTCTATCAACTGGATAGAGTTTGTGCAGTGTGGAGTGGTTTTTGAAGCCATCGTCCCTTTGCCACCCAGGCCAGCTGACGTGTTCTGTGAGATGCAGAAATGCTATTCTACTCTTTAATGATAGTGTTTTGGGGGAAAAGAAATCTTGTGAGGAGTAATGACTGGGTGACACTGCTATACTTACTGTAACTGTGCAAGGCACTCTTCTGTTACAGCCTTGTGCCGGGTTGTATTTGCTCAGTAATTACCCCTGCATGGTTTGAATTAGATTGCTTGCCTTGTGGATTTTAAAAGTCCTGATGAACATTGAGATCATCCCTAATACCAGCACAGGGGTTCTCTATACATAATATATTTCCTTGTGCCTCACAGAACAGTATCCATAGCAAACCCTGAGAGCGGGAAGATGTCTCTCTGGTGCAGCACTGAGCCCCATGTGTGTGACACTTAGTGCTGTACTCAGTCTTCAGTGTTGCTGTCACTCATTCAGCTGGCAATATTGGAGAGTTGATCAGTTGCAGCTCCAACGAAGAAAAGCTTACTTGCTTTTTCTTGCCTGTCAGCTATTACTCAAAAGATGATTCTTTTTGCAAAAGGTAGATGAATGCAACTGGACCACCCCAAACCACCTCACTGCAAAAGACTGTTGTTAAAAAATGAAGCAATAAAAATTAGCAGAAAGCAAGCTGCTTAGACATTTGCATGCTGTATTTGGATGGAGGTCTTGGTGGATTTCACTTGTAATGCTGTAACTGGAAAATATTATTTTCTTTGTTTTAATCTGCTAGAAAATCTGAGGACAGAGTGATTGAAAATAGGCTCAACTAGAGCCATCAAAAGATTATCCCAGGCAGAATGGGGTTAAGAGGGTGGGAAGATTTTTTGCTTTATGTTAACAGTTGTCTGGATTTGAGTGGAGCTTGAAACGCAGTTGCAGAAATCTGAGAGCTTTCATATCTCAAGTTATTTGCTGAGACTTTGCATGGATTCCTATTTTACTGCTTCAAACAAAATTACTGTATTTCTTCTTTATGGGCAGTGATTACCAGTCTTATACTGGAGAAAGCTGAACAGGAAGCAGCCATTCATCTGACTATAGTTTTTTATTTTCTAGCATCAACTTATGTTTTTCAAGAAGGATAAAGAACTTTTCTACAGAAAAAACTATGCTTCTTCCTCTGCCATATTTGTCTGCAAATGTGTTTAAGATTCGTAGTCTGCTGGGCAGAAGTCTGGCCCTGTAACTAGTTACCGGGAACCTGAGGTGTAAGAGTTTACTTAGTAGCATTGCAAAACTTGATAAGTGCTTCTTGCAGCTTGGTTTTAGTGGCAGATAGATCACTTAACTGTATGGGGAACTTCTCGGGAATGTCACTATATACTGAAATGCATTTTTAGGTGCTGAAGTAGCTTTGAAAATCTATCCTCAAATAAGAGGAGCCTTTTCTTAGGTCTGTAGGTGTTTTCTGTTATTTTTAGTGAGCCTAGAGAGAAGAGCCACGCTGGACAATACCAGCTGCTGTTGGTGAGAAACCATGAGATGCAGCCCTGCTTCCATTAAAGATCTCTGGTCACATAGGGTGAACTGGGGGAAGCAATGGTGTGTAATGGGCTCATAGACAAATGCCAAATGGCTATTCACAGCCAGTAGTTTTACCAGTGAGCCTCCAAACTCACAACTGGCATAAACTTGATTCACCACAGGGAATCCTGTCATCTTATCAGTAATTTAACTATCTGACATGTTGCAGATGATGTCTGATTATGGTGACAGTATTCCCCTGGCATGAAGGTTTGCAAGAATCATTTTATCACACAAACATTTTTATGACATTCACTGCCACTCTTGCCTTCTGTGTTGAATGATTCTGGCTGTCATCAGGAATCGGGTCTGGACTTGGGAAGGAGTGCACTTAAACAGTATGATGTTACAGCCCTGGATGCTGTTCCAGTGGTTCAGGGATGAAGCACATGTGTAAGCAGTTAGAGCTTAAAATATCATTAGCAGAGATTGCCTTGTTGGATGTGTTTATTTCCTTTTGATATTAAAGGGTCGGAGTGGTATTGCTGGTGTAGGGGAAGAGTTAAACTTTAACATGTGGTATTTAGGTGTCTGACTTTGGGAGAGCCATTCAGGAAATCTATCTAATCAGCACACATGCCTGAGGCACTGTGATTTAAGAGACGAACTTGCGCTGGGAGAGCCTTATACAATGCGAGTGAAGTGCTGTACTGATTGCAAGGGTGCTGATGTGCACCACCTAAAGCTGTTGGTCAAAAGCTGCCTTATATATTTGAGGAGCAGCCTAGCTACCAGACAGTGACAAGAATATTCTAGCTTTCCTTATGAAACAGACATAAAGCAATCAGGCACATGAAATTTGTAAGACAGAAGAGAGCTGTTAGGGGTTTGACTCTGTAGGGTGCTTAGGTCTTAGTCGGGGAGGCAAAGAGCTGGGGACTTGATCTCTGCATAAATATAGGATTTTTTTCGTCAGGCTTTGAATACAAAGAACACCCGGTCTTGTTGTTTCTTTAAGCAAGCTCTTTGCCTTGTGTTGTCTCTGGGCTGTTGAAAACTGCAGCAACTGATATGTCCACCTTCAAAGGGAGCATGAAGGGTGCTCATGTGTCCTGTAATACAGGTGTGCAGCTCATTTGTGGGGGGGAGGGGGGGATGAGCTGCAGACAGCTCTCCTCCGCAGCTTGGAGTACTGAATCTTTGTTTTGGAGCTCAGATCACCTTCAGTGGGAGGTA